CTACTTATTAAAGGAAAATGAGGAGAAAAAGATTATTTGGCCTCAGCGTTCTACGATAATTAGGCAGGTTATTATTTGAACATGGATTTTCATGTTCCACACATAATAGGACAGTCATTAGAAGAAATGCAACAAGCCACAGATACACAAACCCCCTGCCTGCTGAGCAGCACTCAGTGTGGTGGACCAGCAAGTCCATCCAACAAGGCCCTGGGGTTGAGCTTGAGGGCTTGCTACCTTACTAGCAGTGGGAGCTACTGGATTTATGCAACCCCACTACCAAAATCACATACAGATGTCGGATACTTACAAAACTAGAAAGCAGCAGCTGCTACAAAGTACTGAGATCCTCATAAAGTTTAAAATGTTGTACTCCAGTGTCTAGGTCTCTTTTGGAATTTCCCAAGAAAAGGCAACTTTTCCCTTTTTGGAGCACTCTCAATGAATACTGAGACTAAAGGCTTCAGTAGTACTGTATTGTCCAGGGATGTTGTTATTTGCTGCAAGAAATACTTTATATGTGTGAGAAATACTTTAGAGGCACTCACATGAGATAGTCTATTGGATGACCACATTGCCTGAACTTCCAGTATGCATTTGAAGTTCTTCTCAAATGCTAAATTGGAAAAATTTTAGGTACAAAGCAGAACATAATGGTTAAGTTCAACACTGATTGATTGGCATGTTATGAATAGCTGCCTGACCAAAGTGCAAAAATTATAATTATAAATGACAGTTGGAATATTTATCTGACATTAGCACTTATATTTCTCATAGTGAGGCACTACATTATTGTTATAAAAGTACAACTTTATGCAAGATCAAACTTCTATTCCCAAGTCTGAAAGAGTCTTGATTTTTCAAATTAAGTTACAGGGTTATGGCTCTATTCTTAAGTGTGCCTGCAGATGTTATCATAGCTCCACTGAGCATATTGGTGATTGTCTCTTCCCTAAAACTCTTTGTGATTCAGTAACCAGACATCCCTGTGACAGAACTCCCCAAGAATCCAATCTCATAGTCTGTCCAAACACAGCGGTGTTAACACAAAGCACATCTCACAGCGACTTTCAATTAAATAGCCAGTCAAGGAGACTGCATTCATAGCGCTCACATTTTCATAAAGCATTGTAGTAGCAGCAGCTGTTCTGAAGCTGTAAAGCCTCCTCAGTCAGCAGAAATTCAAATTCATATTTTAACAAAGAGAAGGTGATCTGAAAGTTATATGGGACTCTGTACTTTCCCATCCTGAAAATGGGAAACCTACGGTAGATAATTAAGTATTTACATGACAGAAGAGAAATAAGGGAAACATGACAATAGCCTGTTGATAAAAAAATAAAAGAATAAAAGAATACTAGATGCCCATCCTGATTTTTCATATCTTTTACTGCATTGTATTGGAGGAAAAACAGTAGATGGGCCTCTAGCCTGAGGGTTGAATCATGAAACCTGCGGAGAGACAGGCACCTTACTTCAATCTGCAGGAAAATTTAGAAGAGTCTTCTTTTGCCAAACTAAGAATGTGCTGTCACCAGCTGGATAGTTTCCCGTGCTCCTCAGTGCCCTACTGCGTATTCCTGCATTCTACCTTTTGTTAGTATTAGCTACTGTGTGGCCCTAAAGTAAAACAGAACAGCTTGCTTACATTCTGAAAAAGAAAAAAATTACTTTTTTTTAGCTAGACAGCAAGCTAGCTACCTACTTTTTTTTTTTTTAGCTAGACAGTAAGCTACCAGTAGCATCCTGCTCCTTTTGAGCGGCAAAATCTTTCTTCAGCTGAAACCATCCTTGAGAGATGGACAAATATAACCTTGTCTTCAGCCCTTCATTACTAATTGTTATTAACACTTAATTCTTCCTTGTCCAATACAGTTGCTTTTGGTGGATTTTATTAGCACTGCTGTAACTATGGAGGTCAAAACAGGAATGATGAAAGTATGATATACATACTTAATGCATGCTCCCCCAGCAAGCCCTGCAAGCCTTTCCTTGCAGCTCTTAGATGGGAATTTAGTCGATGGAATGGGGTGCAGGCAACTGCTACTACCGGTGCAAAGTGCAGAGGGAGGTCAGAGAGGCTAAACCTTTGGATCTGGAATGAAGCATGTAGCAGTCCTGGTATAGGAACAGTAACCTCCAGTGAGGAGATACAGGAGGCAGGGAGACGCAGCACTGCAGAAATCATTTAAAGACTGGTAACACCCTTAAGCTCATGCAGCAAAGTGATGTTACCCTAAAGACCCATTTTTGGGGCTAGCACTTTCACTAAGCATTAACAAGATCTGTCATAACTCTAGCTGAGCAGTGAGATCACAGGACTTTTCATGTTGGCAGATTTGTAAGAATGGGTACAGATGGAATGTCAAAAGTTACAGTTCATTAACACTGCAACTACTCCAATGTAATTTATTTTCTACCACATAACATACAAATTAGTCTTCAGTAACAATCAAATTAACAAAACACACTTGACTGCATATGAATTAAAATTGTTTATAGTACCTTCTACACTCATCCTTTTAAGCTATAATATTTTGTTACATCTATTACTGTAAATTCTCCAGGAAAAAAAACCCCACATATCTAAAGAACTGATTACACAAGGAAAGTAGGAAATTGTCAGTTCTACATCGCTACCCAATGCTCAGGAAAAACGGTGCAGATAAAAATATTAATTTATGGGAAGTTTAATTTCCTTTCTACTTCTCTATGTATCAGCCTGCCAACCCAACAACAAATCTCACAGACAATCCATGATAATTTGTCCTGGAATTTTTCTTGTAACAATATCTATCCAGGAGCAGCATTGAGCTAGCTGCATAACTGTTTTTGTTTACCTGGAAAAAGTGCAATCAAAACTTCTTGTAAAGCTTTTTCTCTATCTTATTAGAAAAAAGAAAAAAAAAAAAAACCTCACTAGTAGCAGGGAGTCCCTAAACTGGCAGCCTTTGAAGTTGCTATTGCTTTCATTTCACAGACCACCACCTGTCACTGAAAAGGTATGAGCTAATCACACTGAGACAGCATGGCATCAGCAGCTGTATTTACTTACACTGATTCCAACTGTCAGGAGAAAAAAAGAAAATGAAAACACAGCTAAGGTTGTTAAATGCACAAACATAAATGTTTCCTTCTGACTCAGCAGCTTAAACAATAACAATATTAGTCACAAAATCCTGAGATTCATTCATTTCTGCTCCATGAATATTTCAGTTCTTCCTGTAAATTTAATGGAATCTATGCAGAGGAATGAGCAGACCCTCCAGTGAAAACATTTGTACTTCAGTACTTAATATATAACATACCTGCTGTATTTTAGAGCTGGAGTAAATTTAACAGTATAACTGATGTTTCTTCATGCACAGACTATAGATTATAGCACAAAAATCCTGCACACAGTGTGTGTTTCAAAACAAGAATGAACAGCACTGTTAAGTAGTTAAAACAGTCACATGATAAACTAAACTCAACAAATGCTGATTGATTCACTTCAGTTTATATAGCACTGCAGATTCCATCTAAAAATCAATCTTGAAATCTCTAAAACTCTGAATTATTCCTGACTGAGAATGCTACAAATGAAAGAATGTGTTTCAGTGGTAACCTACAAGTGGTGAAATCATAGGGAAGCTTTCTTCAGTAAGTGCATGCAAAACATTGCCAGGGTACACAGAGATTGCTTTATTAAGGAACAATTTGATGCCACGCAAAAACAGAGCATAGTTCACTTTTAGTCAGACTGTTGAGCAAAGATTCTTTTTTCTGTCTATAGAAACAGATAAAAAATGGCTAAAAAGAAGCTAATAAACTTTAAAAAGCCCCACAGCTTTACAGACAGATGCATTCAATTGAACCACTAAATCACAAATCCTCATATTCTGTATTGTAAGAGTTGGATAGTAAAAATTGAAATTGAAAACAGTAAAATACTTTTTTGCAACTCCAACAGATTGTAATAGTTTTTGCTTACTTTTCAGAGGAGTCTGTACTTGATATATTTTCTAAAAAAATTTGTGTCTGCTAAGCATAACAGAACATCATTAGCAACCTTTAAAAAATATTCTAAGACAAAATATCACGGCCATTATTTTTCTAATTCTGAATTCTGTCCATAACATCAGAATGGTACATTCTTAATATTATGATTTAATATATTGTCATATTAGTGATATATCAAAATAATTTACAGAAACTAACCCTTTCATTTATAACTAATGCATCATCACAAAGAAACCCATATTATCTAACCATATGTATTAATGCCTATGTCATGGAGACAAGTAATTTTCATAGAATAACAGAATCAGTAAGGTTGGAGAAGATCTCCAGGATCACCAAGTCCAACCTTTCATGAAACATCACCGTGCCAAAAAAAACATAGTACAAAGTGCCATGTGCACAGTGTTTTATGGAACACTTCCAGAGACAGTGACTCCACCATCTCCCTGGGCAACCCATTCCTATGCTTGACTACCTTTCCAGTGAAGAAACTCCTCCTGATATCCAGCCTGAACTTCCCTTGGCACAGCTCGAGGCCATTTCCCCTTGTCCTGTCAATGGCAGTCTGGATAAAAAGGCTGCCTCCCACCTGGCTACACCCTCCTTTCAGGCAGTTGTAAAGAGCAGTAAGGTTCCCCTCTAAGCCCTTTTCTCCAGGCCAAACAACCCCTGTCCCCCAACCACTCCTAGGATTTACCCTCTAGACCCTTCAACAGCTCCACTGCCCTTCTCTGGACTCGCTCCAGCCCCTCAATGTCCCCCTCAATGTCAGGGGCCCAGAACTGGACACAGGACTCAAAGTCTGGTTTCACCAGTGCCAAGCACAGAGGAACAATCCCTGCCCTGGTCCCACTGGCCACACCATTGCTGATCCAGGCCAGGATGCCATTACCTTCTTGGCCACCTGGACACAGCTGGCTCACATTCAGCTGCTGTCAGCCAGCACAGATAAGGTATGTAGGAAGTTTGCACTGTAACAGTGACTTCAAGATACAGTGTTATAGGGCACTATAACCTTTACTGGCACAGACTAGCTAGTACAGAGTGACATAAGCACTCTAGAAAGCAAGCTATGGATGTTCCCAAACCTCTTTGAGAAATGAATCCGGGAGAATTCAGCTGCAGAAATTTGAGACATTACTGCTCTGCTCGCAGTACTGAACCTTCGATGTTCATAATCCATGCTGCAATCTTCAAAGTAGCAATCACTAGGATTTTATTAATCTATTTGCACTTGACTGCCTGAGTTGTCTGAAGATAGAGCAGCCATGGAAGAAGGATTCTAGGTAGCACAGGTAGAAAACTCTTCTTAATCCATTACAGATGTATTCAGTAGGAGCTTCTCTGACAAAAGTTTTCTGTGGCCTGCAGTGAACACTGCTACAACATGCTCTGAGGATCCAGTGACAGAAGTGAATAAATCACTTTGTTGATGAAGTTCAATAGCAAGCCATTAAACAGCCATTCTGGTGAAGTGAATGGTTTATTTCCAGCTTTTAAAGATACTACCTTGAAACATAAAGCAACAATTAATCTAATGCACAGTACACAAGCATCTAAATGACTTTATTAATACATTAATGTGTGCTTTTATTACCCAATGATTTTATTTAACTAGACAGAGAATAATTAAAGTGACAAGACACATCCTTTTTACCCGCTCTCCTCTTTTGCCATTTCTTAGCTCAAGTTCAGCAACGATTCCATCAAATCAGCAAGCCACCAATTTAAGAGAATGATCAAACAGATCTTCAAATACTTGTAAATGCTAAAGTTCTGTTCCAAAACCCATGATGCTAAAGTTCTATTCCAAATGAATCCTGGTGTCTCTAGACACAGAAAATGACAAAACCCAAAGCTATAGGTAACTGTCACACTCTAGGCATTCAACTGCTCCTTTGCAGAGGTTAATGTGCTGTAGGACAGGGTGAGTGCACAGCATATTACTGACAAGGAAATCACTGTGATTATGGTTCATAACTTCCACTACAAAAATGGGTGACGAGATGATTTCTAATCATTTGTCTTCACATCCAGTCAGTCAACCAAAATTCCTCAAAAGTTTGTACTACTAGGGATGCTTGCATGTACTGTCTATTCAAATGTATCCTTAGCTGTTGTGGAAGAAGTTAGAATGGTCCATAAGGACTTCTTATCTCTTCATTAAAGGTTTGAAATAGTCTCCACTACTCCTCAAGCCCTTTTTCTTGCATGTCAGCATTTTCATTTCAGCAATTTTCTTTTCAAGAGAAAACCTCAACTAAATCTTAAGAAAGACAATTACATATTCTCAACATAAATTTTATGTGTAGAGTCATAGTTCCACTTCCAGCCCGTTATTCCAAATGTCTGACAAATATATTGTTAAATGGCAAGGCAAAGGGCCTGTTCAATGATTACTATTCATCACTTCTGGCTACTCAGTTCTTAGGAAAACAAGCAGACCATAATAGCCATTAAATGCTAGAAACAACCATTTTTAAGAAGTAGTAACTGGTGGTACTTAGCACTGTCCTCTTCTAAGCTGAGATGCTAACAGGACAAAAGGAATTAAATGCAGTCTACTACTTGCTCAGTTGGTCGACTTAGCAAAGGGTTTGAAACCATGAAGTGAAACTGTGTGAATCCTGGAATTTTATTACATGCAGCACCTAGGAAAAAAAGAAAACAAGATTCTAATTTACTATATTTGACATTAGTCTCTCTGTCACTGTATTTTATCATCTAAAGATCCAGTTACTAATTCTACTACAGTGGAATAATTATTCTTTTACAATCTGTTTAACCCAAGATATCTTGAAAGCATTTAATTTTTAAGTTAAAATTACTGCTGGTTGTTGTAGTGCAATTAATGCCCTTATAGTACAATTCAAAACAGTAACACAAGTCAGGAAAATCTCTCTCTCTTTCAATCCTGATTAATTTAATGAGTCCCTTCAACACTAATCTCTTAAACACAGAACTATAGGAAGTAGCAGATCAAAGAATAAGCAAAGCAGTCTAACTAAATAATCCACATTGATTAGCAAATTGTACTTCCTACTGATCTAAGAGTTCACTAATGAGATGCCTGGCACAATGACTACTCTTAGATCACTCTGAAGCTATGCTTAACATTCATATTCTCTCCCTCCCTTATGCCATATCTAGGGAAAGCAAAGCAGTCGTTTTTTAAAACCTTCAAATTAATCGTATACAGTCCAGGAAACAAATGAAGGTTGTAAATATTTTTGGCTTTTGCTAAGACTTCCATAAATTTTGTGAAAGTCTAAGACATCAAAACGCAAAATTAAATTATCTCCAGTCTGCACTAGGACACAGCTGCCCTGCTAACCAGTATTCCATACTGTGAATGGCCAGTGCTGCTGCAGTTTTCAAAGAATAATTAAAGACTTTTTCAAAATCTCTGTCCAGTTTTGTACATCAGTGACCTAGTTAGGGTCAAGCACCTTTGTCTGCAAAACAAAATACATACCGTAACTTCCAGTTGTATTGGCGCAAATGATAGCACCAAAGAACTTTGGAGCGTACTTCTGGATTCTGGAAATAACTTTCTGACAGGCTAATGTTGGGTCTGTTCCCATCCTCATATATTCCACAGCTTGGTAACTAAAAAAAACCCAACCCCATACCCAGAAAATTAGCCATGTTTAGGTTACATAATTTAAAATACCACAGAAGAGACCCTGGTTTCTTTGAATGATGGATCACATGATAACTTTTTAGGCCAACTTCTTGTTGACAATTATTACTCAAATTGGGCACAAAAGCAATTAAAAACAAGACTAAAAGGGACTACAAGATGACATCTATACCATGTATCATTCTATGGCAGGCCAAACCAAGACAGAACTCTGATCATTTGCAGGAGAAGAGGCTAAGCAAAAGAGCAGTTAAATAACTGCAAGAAGAAGTGGCTTAGAAGACTTCTACTTTTCATCACATGATTTGGTTTAACATTAGAAGTAAATTGCTAATTTTCAGAAAGGCTAATGTAAAGATAATTTTTTGAGGAAAACTCTGTATTACATTACTGATAAATTACTGAATTCAGTAAGCATTAAGAAAATCTTTTAGAAAAAATTAAGTTTCTGAAAACATCAAAATTGACAGATTTTATGAATATGAAGGTACCATGTTTTGATCAGGACTTTGAGCCACTTTCAAACTTTTTGCAAAGTGACTAAAAAACCTCCCTTATTCTAAGAGTAATCAAAATGAATTTCTTTTATATTGAAAGAAATTGCTTGAGAGGAACAAGTTGCATTTCCAAAGTGTCCTGAGGTAAAAAATTACTTATGTTGCCATTCTATTTCGGAACCTGAAGATTAAATGGCAACTCATGACATAAATTACAAGCAACCATTTTATCGCTTTGATGAAAGATGCATATACCAAGACAAACTTGTTACACTAAGACATCTACAGATTGCATTAATTACAGATGTTATTGAAGTTCCACAGAAAAGAAGAACTCTTGCATTTTGAGACTCCCAATAATCTTTGATTTATTCTAACAATCAAATAGATTTAAGTTATCTAAAGATAAGTATCTGAATATAAAGCTGTATTTCACTCTTGACTAATCAAAAACTCAACAAGAAGTTGCCACCTCAATGAAGACATATGGAAAATGTTAACAATTTTTCCCTTTATTTGACAGTTCCTTCACTTCTGTGAGGTTAATTCTTGTCTTTGTTTTCATGTGGGAATATCTAAATATCATGCAATTAGTAAAAATCTCTATCTATAAGGAACCAGTAATTAACCACCTAGTCTGGTGATTAACCCACTGGTGCCAACATTAAATGTTTTAAGCATTACAGACAAATATTTCAGGCTGCTTAAACGCAATCTAAGCTTTTACTGACTAACCTTATCGTGGAGACCAACTCACTACTCACCTTGGTATCTTGTATGACAAGACAGATGATTCATCAAGTTGTCAACTGCCTTGTATTTGAAAGACCAACTCAGAACAGCTTGAAATTCACTGACAACATCTATAAATATGCAACAGCTAGCAGGCTTTCTTGGCTGCCAGAGTTTCAGAGAAGTTCCCTGAGTGATATGAAGGCCATTTCTATATTATCCTTCAAGCATCAGTGCCCATTATGTTCAGCATGGCCTTCCATAATTGATTCCTACTGAGACTAACCCACGAGGACGCTCATGAAGAGAGCTATTTCTACACAGTGTATGCAACCACTGTGACAACACTAAAACACCTCTTTCAGTTCCAAATTAGATGCAATTACAAAGGATTGCTGCAGTGATACCTCCTGAGTGAGCTGAGACCCACAGCTCATCCTTTCTACAATTTATGATACTTTCCCAAACACAAAATGCTTTGGAGAGAAAGCTAATCGGTTCTGCTAAAAACTATACAGTTTGGAAATATACTCATTACCCACTGCCTGTTTGCTCACAGCTTGGCAGTATTAAGGGATCTGTCACCAAGATATTTAAGCCTCTTCTTGTAAAACAGATCAAAAGGGTAACTTGGTTCTGCTACTATTCTTTCCCCTTCCACTCCTTCCTTTACTCCCAACTTCAGCAGCCACTAAGTCAGACCATATTTTTAATCAATTTCTTCATTTGCTGAGTCCACATTTTGCTGCAGAAATCTAGCAAAGTCTGCCCTAAGGACAAACCTGGGTAAGAAGCGCATCATGATGTCACCATCCCCAGTGGCTGCAGCTCCTCCGGCTGTACTGTCCGCGTAGGATCCTGCTCCAGCTATTGGAGAATCTCCCACACGCCTGTAGTGAACAATGGAAAGTAAAAACCAAACTTTGTCAGCCTTACTGCCTCCAGCTGACTTAGCATTAAACCCACAGGAGGAAAGAACAGGTAAAGAGGTCAATTCATTGCAGTCAAAAGTCTTGTCTTTAAACTACCTGTAAAAATGATCTGTGATAACCTGACTGACCTGAGGCTCAATCCACCGCCAATGCATAATTGTCTGTTATTATACTGACAGTAGTTAAGCCAGTGAGCTTTAGCCTGTGGGCAACAGTAAGCAGCTGGGGACATTAATATGTTCAATAACTTGTTGCTAAATCCAGAAGTTGTCTGACTTGGTTGACAGACAATAATCCTAACTGTGTAGAAAAAGTATCTCAAAGACATAACACAAGCCTGAGGCTCTGATTTTATGTACATTTCTTAGGAGACTGCACCTCTCCAAAATGCTTATTTGTCTCTGGTGCCTTGACTTACAAGTTATCTCACAACTGTGCCAGTTGTTAGTGCCTTTATATGGTAAATTAACCAAGCTGAAAAACAAGCATTCCCTCAAATGCAACACGTACTCTTGCAACTGAATAAGTTTCTCAATATTAGGATTTATGGCGAGTGCACAAAAAGAAGCAAAGCCATTTTGTGATCTACAGGTTAATGTTTTAAGTCCCAATGACAAGTTTAACGTAGGAAACAAGGTGGGGAAAAAGGCTTTTTTGTAAAATCAGAGATACTAACCCTGGAAGTTTGTGGATTGCACCATTAGTAGATGTCCCAGAAGCAACAGTTCCACTCGCGCCAATTACAACCATACCTACAGGGACAAAACATATTCAGGGACACTACTAGCACATTTATTTAGTTGGCACTTACAACTTGTAAATTCTTTGTATTGTAAAGACCATCAGACAAAAAGTTACTGCTAAACTTAGAAAAATCCAAACTAAACCAAAAAGTGCAAGTTTCAAGACTACGAAGTATAAAGATATGAAGGACATGAACCTGTAACTACTCTAGTCCTTTGTCTGATCCACTCATTAATCAACTTACAGTCTTAGCAACTAACAATCCTCAATCAGTAAACTCTCAGAAGTTTTATGAACTGCTACTGCTAACTTCTTTTAATGTTAATTTCTGTAGAAGTTTACTGATTTAGAAGAAAGCCAGAATAGAAGAAAAATGAAAGCAAACTTTGTAAGTTTAAGGAGCATGAAAAACACTGCTTTTAGCTGGCAACAGGACTAATGGTATACTCATTTCTTCTACCACTGCAAGGCCTTTTAAGTTGGTGGTGACAGCGCATCATAATCAAGACAAACATAATTATTTTAAACTTAGTCAGTTTCCTAAGCATCCACAAGTGCCCAAGCAATTATGCCAAGCTATCTATGGGAAAAGCAGCAGGGCAATGAACAAGAGTTAATGGCAAAAAATGAAGCAAGCGTCTGTGCAGCCACTGAACTTGAAAAAAACAAAAACAAATCCTACTTATAGGCATTCCATTCTAACACAGAAGTAACAGAATCTTGAAACCCCTATAAAGAGAAAATAATTCCTATATTAAATACTCTTCTTAAAATAAGTATGATTTAATTGTTAGAGGAATGAGGAAAAAAAGATCAGCATCAGAGTTAGCAAAAGTTGTTACCAATAGTATCATGGTTATGAATATTTCTTTGTGAGCTGGTCTGTTCTTCTTTATAAGTTACTTCTTCACGCCGTTTATACGGTCCACAGGACTTTGAAGAGTCTGGCACCACATTCTGTAATTAGTTTGTGATTTGTATGAATAATCTAACATATTCAATACAGATAAATTAAAAAATACTCTAGTCAATACCTATAATCTACCATAAAGGCATTAGATGTCCAGTACTTAGACCACAGAGATGTACTGAGAGATCCCAAAAATGGTTTTGCTTCATGAATAAAGACTGATTTCTGACATTACACCGTAAAAAGATTTTCCTGGAAAAGTTACGTTGTTCAAATTAAGGACTCTCTTTTGCTCAACTGACTGGTCAAAAAAACCCCAAACCAGTGTACAAACACGTAGAATTCTATAACACCCAAAGCAAAACTAGGCCCCATTCAAACAACAAACCAAGCTCACCACAACAGGCAAGTTTAATGGACATCTGCATTAACCTGATGTATTCATCGGTCTGCATAATGCCTCTAAGCTATTTAAAGATCTTAATTATTACTGTAAGATTTTTTTTCCAGAAATTTATACATGCATCAAAAAATACATGCACTGCTTTGTTTATTTTGGTAAGTCCTGTCCCAATCAAGAACTAATTAAGTCCCACACCAAAACATTGCTGCAGCAAGGTCAAAAGCAGCAGGAGCTAAGAAATTATTACTAGACACACACACTGCCAAGTCTGCCAAGTGCTTAGTAATACCAAGTTTTTTCTGTATAATAGACAAAAATTGTTTTTCTTCACATGTAAAGGGTAACTTCAATATAAGCTGAAAGGAAGAGGCACTAATGACTTTCTAAATCCCCCCTCCACTGCCATTACTGCACTGTACCTTCCAGTAGTTTGGCTGACAGCTTTGATTAAGCCACTCTGAATACAGCGAAAGGGATTTCTGAGTAGTTAAATCTTCATATGGAAATCCCATTTTTACAGCAAACAGGGAGGCTTGAAAAATAAGAACAAAATAAAAAAGAAACACTGATTTATTCACAGTTTTATGGGTTTTATGATAATGTATTCATGTTTTGCTTTTTTAGAAATCAAGAAATTTGACATCCTTTTTGGAAATGAGAAATACATCTTCAGGGAGCAGTTTCAGCCATTAGAATAATCTAGAACTGCAGTAGCCAACTCTTGCTTCACAGGCAGTGACATAAAAGTTTTCCCATTGAAAGAGAAACAAATTCAACTCTGTTAATCAACTGGACACAAGGGTATGAAGCAAGAACAGCCTAAGCATCACAGAAATAAATAAGTCATAAAAATATAAGTGTATTTTCCCTAAAAAGCAAGTTTTTATTAAATATAAATAACATAACACCATGTTTGTCATTAAAACTGATACCTGAAGAAAGCAATCCACCAGCTTACATCACATTACACTTCGTTCTAGCAGCTTTAGAAGTGACTGCTTCCTTGTTTTGAAAATTAATATAGTATGTGACAAGAGAGCAAAAGAAATACCAACACAAGCAATGAAAGAATGCTACACTTCTATGAAGGACTTATCATTAGGAAAAGGGAAAAGAAAAAATATCACCTCTTCTGTCATCTTTTAGCTGTAGATACCTTTGATATTACCCAGTAACAGATACTGTTGCTAGGTGCAGCTGCTTGAATTTATTTAATCTATCCTTGATAATAATGCCACTATAACACACAGGTGAACAAACTTATCCAGTCCAAGAATTAAGAGAAGCCTTCAATTATTTCTGGACTGCTTTTCTAAAAAACTGACACAATTATCAGCACTCAGAGGAAAAGAAAATTGACAGCTTCAATTAAATAAATACTTTCCCACTTATAGAACAAACAGGCAGAATTTGGGGTTTTTTGTTGTTGTTTTGTTTTCGGGTTTTTTGTTTTGTTTTTTTTTTTTTTCTAAGATAAAATTGTGCTTGTGCATGTTTATCAAGAATTATTTCATAGCTTTTGAAACATTTTTTCTGTTCCAGAAAGCAGAGTTCCTGATTTTGCATCTTGAATAAAAAATGCATACAGAGATTACACGCATTTATAAGAAAAGATTTTACTGTTCTAGCTATCTTTTCTGTAATACAAGTACTTCTATTTAGAAATACAAGTATTTCTATTTTGTTTTCTCACATGCCTGTTTGAAGGTTCATATGGATTTTCTTTTTATTCATCTTCATCTGGTGAAGACAACCAGAGTTTCTCTTATCCAAGTTCCGATTTCCACAAAAAAAAATTTCTCCAAAATAAATAGTCTTTCTCAATTTCTCCACTGTTTTCATTAATTCATTACAATTAAATACCATCTCCGATTTTTACTCAGATGAATCTTTAGCTTTCACATCTTTCTTCTGCCATGACTGCTAGGTGTTTTCTTCTGAGCAAGCTATCACTGACAGTAAGTATTCAGCACAATAAACTTGTCCATATCCCTCCATTAAGCAAAGAGCTATCTTCTTAGCTTGGAAGATGTATCTAAAATCAGCACTTTAATCCTTCTGTTTCTTCATTTTCCTTATCTGTTCATTTTTCAGATTAAAATTAAAAATACTATGGTAACTAGCAATGAGGGGCAAACAAGTATTAGAAGTATTTCTCCCTCCACTATTTAACACCTGAACAATTTCTTTTTCTGCACTACATGAGAAATTTCTCTTAGAAAAGTCACTCATCATCATGGTCAATTGCCTTAAATTAAACAGAATCTGCATGTTTCTCTGTTCAGACCTTCAGTCAAATTGTATCCTCACCTCCCAAAATGGTTTCATTTTACTCCACCAAAAAATTGCTCATGCACTTACTTTTGCACATGCTAATTACTTCACGAACATTTTATCTTTTCTTATCAACTTCAAAGCAACTGAATCACCATTAATGCTCAGGTGCCATTTTCCACACTTATCTGCATATTTCTTTCTGAGCAGGTACAGGCTCAGAGCAGGCTTCTTTAAAGCCAAGAAACCTGTTCACCACTAACACACCTCTGGGGAATGAACAGCTCTTTTTGAAACTGGTACTGCTCTACCAACAGCAGCCTGTATTAAAATAGCTCAACTAATCCTCCAATTTGCTATTGCTCTTTTGTTGTGTCTGGTAGTACAGCCTTTAATGAGTTATTTTTCATTTAAATTCTCACTAATACTTTTAAACTATGAAATACACTAATCACACTCAGCATATACCAAAATATTAGAAATTAACTCCAGTGTCTATTAATTCTGCCATTCCTTAGAAAAAGTTACTGGTTTTAAATGCAATACTTACATCTAAGAGTTTTTATGGTGTCTTTTAATAAATCGTCTTTGGTAACTTGGTTATCAGTGATATTAGCCTTAGGATTACAAGTCAATATTTGCAGTTAAGCCAACGGAAAAAACATACAACTATTTTTTCTGTCTAAAAATAAACCTGTTTCATGGACACAGAATGGAAGAATAAACACTTTTGAACTATCTGAGTAGATTGATTTGATTGTCAAGAAATTCTTCTACCTGTATTACCAAGATGAAAATATGGCAATTTTACTATGAAGTGTTTTAAAATGAGGGTTTGACTTGGAAAGAGTTAAAGGAATAATTACCTGACTCTCCCACTAGTAATGTATGCTTAGTGTATTCAATGACCTTTCGTGCTACACCAATCGCATTTTTCACACGCCTGAGATCTGCAACAGCCCCAACTTCCATAGTGTTGCTGGAAACAAGGAATATTTAAAACTTATTATAACTACAAGAATAATTGCATACTTTTTACTAGACAAAATCTATTCTCATCTAGATCAAAAAGCTTGCTTCTTTACCATAATGCTTTAATTGCTCTATGCCACAGACAGATGTCACTATATTAGTAGGGAAAGACTTCCTACATATATTGTTTCCTTTCACAGGCACGGAGATACTGCTCAAGAAACAGTACTTCCATTCACAGCAGTATTTTCAGTAGAGTAACTATTTTGTTACATAAACTCAAAACATGAACCACACATTTGCAAAAAATTATTGAAGACATTGCTCCAAAAGTGAAATATTTACGGACTGAATGTAAAGGGAAAGCTAACAATGCAACAAACCATCTGTTTCAGCTGCTATACCCTAGAACTGGATTAATGCACTACAAGTGAAGAGTCACTTCCTACTCTTCCACAATCAGATATGTTATTTTGTCTTGTTCCACAAATTAGTGACCTCCATAGTCAGCCCCAAAGCACCAAGATCCTGTAACAATCTTTAAGTGCGCTAAAAATGGCAGGTGTGAGAAACAAGTTAATGGAAGTTGGCTTTCACTGGGTGTTGCATGAATTGATATCACTAATTATATTGATAATTAAATATTATGATGTTGTCAATATTGACATAGTGATATGTGCTGTGGAGTGGTTGATATTGTTGCAGTGGCCTGGTTATGAGGATGGTTCTGTGTTGTGGTGTGGGTTTGTGAGTTCATATTGCACAGACTGTTTGTTTGTTGCTGGCCTAACCTCTGAGACACGACCTTAAAAGCAGCAGAACTCATCCAGTGATGGCCCTGAGGATCACACTGATCAAACTGTGTGGGCACCCAGGAGAGTGACATGGGGCGAGACTATGTAAAATGAAAACAAATGTGCAGCAAGCTGATGGAACACCACGGGTATAAAACGTGGAGCTGCCAGATGAGCCTCTGGTGTTCGGCTACGCTAACAGCACTGCCCCTTTTGCCTTGTGAACTTTTTTATTCTTCTCAATAAAACTCTTATAATGCGTTCCCACTTGGGGTTTGAGTCATTTATAACAGCAGGGATCATTCTCTTCTCTGTACAGTTTCCTTACCCATCCATAATCATTGCATCCAGAGTTGTTTCTCCACTCTCATCCGGGCTTCCTCCGTAGCCCACGCTGCCATCGCACTGATCGATCTCACACTGGCCACAGCCTCTCTCAACCGCATCCAGCTCTGAACCTCCCGACTCCAATACTCTCCAAGCTGTAATCAACAAATAATTAAATGTCACCAGGGAAAAGAGTTTCCACTGCTGCTTGAAGATAAACATGATGCAGGTGCATTACCTAAGTGGATAAAAACCAGTAAACTATAAATTACAGATTATGAAGTCAAAATATAAATATAAATATAAATATAAATATAAATATAAATATAAATATAAATATAAATATAAATATAAATATAAATATAAATATAAATACAATCAAAGAATTGGTTATATTTTCTAAATTCACTATTCACTTTTCTAAATATTCTTCTCCTTGCATATCTGATTAGTATTTCTCACTGAGAAACAGAGCTTTTCTTTTGACTGAGGTATTATTTATTAACCATTATCACAAGTTCTCTAGATCAAATGCCCTTCTCTGTCCAGACCAATCATTGCTTTATCACCACTCGTTTAAAGCCTTCTGGGAGAAGAAAGAGGGAGGAAAAAAATCTTCCAACGCAAAAGAAAAGAACCAAAAAAGGCCAAAAAAAAAAAACCTGCTCTCAAAAGCTTCGTATGAGAGTATTATGTGTCCAACTGCAGAATAAAAAGGTATAAATCTACATCAGTAACTATGCAAGCACAAAAGCAAAGTGAAAATTATACATAAGAAATTAAGTCTCCACATTGTCCTGTTCAACCCTTGGTGCTCCATTCTTCAGGATCTAGATCATGGTGCAACTTTTGTAAGACACTGCAGATGTGTCAAATGACATGACTTGGATACACTGAGCCTGAAGGCATTGCAGATAGATTTCACAAGGATGGACCTCAGGCAACATCTTCTAAGGTGCTTGAGCTTGCTGCCACTGACAATCACAGTCCTGCTTACTCCAATTTGTGCTGGCTCTGGCACTCCATCACCTGACAGACCCAGCACAGGGGAGGCAGCATATGCCAAGAAGCCTAATCATCACAGATGCTTCACTACTACATGAAGTTGCCTGCACCAGGGAAAAAATAAGACTTAATACTATGCATCCAACTCTATTACAAACGTCAGTGTGATGAGTATCGTCTGATTCCTATTACCTTTGTTGGTGTATTACCTATTACCTTTAAGCCTTAGCACAGGCTTTCAGAAGCTACAAAGCCAAGGGCCTTGCAATTTTCATGACTGTATTTCACTTCTGACCATTAAAAGGCTTTACTGGTAACTCGTTTTACAAGCAGGCATTCTGTAGTAAGGGGTTACTTCCAACTCGACTGTAAGAAAATAATCTGCAAGTCTATTAATATAACTATTAATATAACTATTAATAATATAACTATTAATATAACTATAATCTCAAAAAAACCAAAAACAACAAAGCCTTAAATAACACTGCACAAGAGTGCAAACCACATTATTAACAAAAGCATGTCTTTTTCACAGTTGGTAACTCCCCTCTTTAGTTTCTGGGGTTTTGATCGGTATTTTTAGCGTTACTTCCCATCGCGGAAAGCGAAACCATTGACCCGCAGGTTCCTAGTGGCAGAGAGACGGAGAGGCAAGCTCCGCCGCTGGGCCCTTCCATAGGAAGGATAACCCTTCCCGAGCCGGCCGAGGCGCCTCCGCGCCGGCATCGGGGCTGCCCCTGAGCCGTGACGGGGCAGCGCGGCGGGCACAGCCGGGCTCCGCAGCCAGCCCGCTTGGCAGCCGGGGCACAGCCCGCTCCTTCTGGCCACGCTTCAGCCCAGTCACGCCTCAGAGTCTCGTTCTTCCTTAACCAGCACCGACACCCAGGTGCGCCCGGCAACCCCTCAGCAGGAGGACGCTCCCGAAAGACACAGCATCGCCCCACCCGCCCCACTGCAGCCCGGGGCCCCGCCGGGACACCTGTGTCTGCGGCCGTCCTAAACGCCCAGGTGTTGATGACTACAGGCAGAGCGGCAGCTGAGGCGGCGCCCGCCGGTGTCAGCACACCGAGGAAGAGGAGCACGACCGTCACTCCCTGCCAGTCCCCGCCGCGTCCCGCCGCCATCGCCGCCCGGCCCGGCCCCGCTCGGCTCCGCCGCCTCCAAGCCGGCGGCGCAGGCGCGCACAGCCCGGCCCTGGCCGCGCTGCCCGCGGGCCGTGCCAATCGGGCTGGGCCCGGCGCTGACCGCAGCCCGGCGTCGGGCTCTGCAGGCACGGGAACGGCATCGTGGCTAGGAAGAGCTACACCCTCGGCAAAGACCGAGGCCCACGCCCACAAATACAGTTTGTATTTCACAGAATCATAGAATGGTTTGGGTGGGAAGGGACCTTAGAGATCACGTAGTTCCAATCCCCCTTCCGCAGGCAGGGACGCCATCCAGTTAACCAAACTGTTCGGAGACCCATCCAACCTGGGCTTGAACTTCCAGGAATGAGGCATGCACAGCTTCCTTGAGTAGCCTGTTCCAGTCCCTCACCACCCTCACACTAATGAATTCTTTCCTAATATGCAATCTAAGCCTACTCTGTTTCAATTTGAGCCCATTCCCCTTGTCTTGTCACTACCTGCACTTTATAAATAGTCTTTATCTTTCCAGTAAGTTCCCTTCAGGTACTGGAAAGCTGCAATGAGGTCACCCTGAAGCCTTTCCAGACAGAATAACTCCAGTTATTCTGCTATCTCAGCTTTTCCTCTTAGGAGAGGTGCTCCATCCTTCTGATCAACCTGGTATGGCCTTACTCCAACAGGTCAACCTCTTTCATGTGTTGGGGTCTGTCAGGATCCGTCCTAGTGAACAGATGACCAGATGGTTCATAGGAGTGATCTCAGAGTGCAAAAACCAACACGGTACAAGGAGGGTTGCAGTGATAATCAAAATACATACAGTTTTATTGAAATAACCACAGCAAAAATGCGATAGAGGGATTAAGGGAGAGAAAAAAGATAGAGAAAGCGTGAGGAAAGAGAGAGAGGGAGGGGATATAGCTACCAACGCAGAGACGAAGTCCTTTGGTCCAGTCCAGTCGAGGGTCCGCCTGCTACGCTGGGGAGATCTGAAAGGCTCTAGCTAACTCAGAGGTTTTTATTACTGAAAATTGTGAGGAGGGGGAAACAGATACAATAGGGAACAGATGTAACAGGTAGTCCATGTTCTCAGCAGTAAGCGAGAGCCATTGTTTTCTTGGTTCAGTGGTCACAACCTGCAGGCAAACATCTCGCTTTGGCCAGCTTGCCTCCCCCACACACCTCCCCCGGGCTCTGTCACAGTGGTTGTAAAACAGGTGAGGGTCTTCTGTGGGAGACCACCTGAAACTCAGGAGAAGTCCAGCCAGGCCGAGAGATGGGACAGCTTCCAAAGCTGCTGTTGTTGCAAACGGGGCACGGTGCCCCCTTCTTAGCATACAGCAAACACACCTGTGAAAACAATAGCTTAACACTGAGCTTTCAAGTCTCAGGGCTTTTGCCAGGACTTTTCTCCTTCAGAGCCAGAGATTCTAGACGGGGGGGGTCTTCTCTTCAGTGGTCTCCCGAGGACGATTGTGAGGCAGATGAGGGAAAATTCGGACAGACTCTCACATGGTCCCAGAGAGCTGGATGCAGTACTTGAGGTGGAGTCTCACCAGAGCAGCCTAGAGGAGCAGAATCACCTCCCTCAACCTGCTGGCTGTGCTGCCTTCGATGCAGCTTTTTTATTGAGTCTGGATATGTGTTACAGCCCGCCTGTTTGTGCAGGGCCCCCACCTGCCAATGAGATTGCCAGTGGTGCTGGAGTGCGGGAGCTGAGCTGTAGTGGTGTGGGAAGGCTGTGCAATAGCAGGGATGCAGGGTGGCAGCAATCTTCCCCTAAGCTCATGAGATCCATTTGCAGCATCTTCATGTGCCACCTTGCTAACATGGATGTCTTTGTCAAAAGCACCTTATGCCACAGAGACATTTCTGCGAAGGGCGTGTTTTGGAACCTGCTACAGCCAAATAGTTCATTTAAAAATTTGTGAAAAGCTTTGCTTTTCACAATGATTTTCACAATATGACTGCTTTACAGAAATCCTAAAATTTGTAACATGTAATTTCCTAATCCTGCCTCTGCCACTCAAGCTTTTCCTGTTAAACAGTTAGCAGTAGTTCAAAGCCTTTGACCCATTGCCATAGCACTCTGACAGTTTCCAGGTCCAAAAGCTTACCTGCTGTAAGCAGAATTCACTGGCTTGTGTTCAGGGCTGATTAGGTTCAAGGAGCCGCTGATCAACAACCACCTATTATATCTGAACAAAAGGAAAAGGTGACTTTTTCTTCTATGTGGATAAAAACTCAACTCTTTTTTTTTCTTAAATACTCTTCTGGCTTGTCCACATTACTCCTTTTCAATATATAATGTGCCAAACTCAATTACACTTTAGCACCAATGTTGTTGGTCTTGTGTTTGTGCTAAGAGGGCATACTTGGACTTCATGTGTGAGAGCCTGAGTTCTGTAGGCATATATAAATTGTGAGTGCACCCAAGCTGGTTTAAGAAGCCCGAAGCATATGAATAAAATGTTATTTTTATTGTAACAAAACGTACCACAGGCTTTGGAATTAAATGATTGCCGCAAAGGAATGTATTCTCCTTTAACACAGAAGTCACAAAATAATGAAATACAGTATTGAGTTTGACTTCAGTGATAGTGTGGCCTTGGTTTCAGCCATTTCCCAAAAGCAAAACTATAAGTAATCTAGAGAAACCTTTACTCAAGTAAGTACTGTTAGCTGATTTATTTCTGCTATTACTGTTCTTATTTAATACTGTATGTATTTCTCTGTAAGCCAGTTAGGTGAGGGAGATGGACTGAAACACAGTTCCAAATTAATATTAGCTGAAGGGAAATAGAACAAAATATTTTCAGGAAATAAATTTAGCAATAAGTAAAAAAAAAAAAAAAATATATATATATAATATATATATATATATAATATATATATATATAATCCAACACATTCATAAAGTGGATACATTAATGATATTTTTCAAATACAGTTTTCTTTTCATGAGATAAAATGGACTGTTATGAAAGAAAACCACTTTAATATGGGTGTCATTCAAGTAAGTATTGACTGTGATAGTTTCATCTGCAGGCTGAGCCTGCACAGCTGTGAAAAGAATGTTTTGTATGACTTGAAACACCAGAACATTATGCTTTGAGGCTCATGCAGAAATTCAGTTGGTTTGATTTCTGTAGCATGCTTTCTAACTGGCACTCAAACGTGAATGACTTCCTGCTAGAAATAAATGCAATCTTGAATCCTTGCTTTACTGTATACAATGCTATTTATTATATTTTTATGCTGTATGTGAACAAACAAAGCAAACACTGCTTTCAGATACACTGTGTAAAACCAACAGCAAGGTCAATAAAACTCTCTACATGCTGAAAGCTAGGGAGAATTTGAGCAGTGTCCAAAACAACTCTACAAGTCTGTTCTGCTGCATCCACAGGCTCTTGATTTATGTTCAGTCTCTCACATAAAATATTTTAAAATTGGTCTTGGGATTTAAAAATTCTTTGTGTTTTCTTAAAAATTACCTGTTGCCTTATATCGGCTGTTGCTACATCAGCAGTGGAAATGCTCCTTCATCTCTTTGTCCCCAATACTTACTGTTATCTTAGAGACCATAGCTGAGCTAAATGATGATGCTAACAAGCTTTTGTCCCTGCTGCTAAAAAGCAAATCAGTGTTTATACAAGGAGAATTTTTGTTCATATGTATAATATTGAAAGAATGTTCTAGAGAATGGCTTGCATGGACAAGGAATTAGTGAGAGGATCTACAGCAGACAACACTGTGACTGGATGGCACTGAGTAATTAATGAAAAACAGAAGAAGAAATTCACCTCTTTCACTGAGAGGGTCTGTTCCTACAGTGGCCAAATTCTGACCTCAATTATATCTGTGTGACCTAATCTGGCACCATCTTTTAAAAATGCATGCCTGGCTCCTTTTTGCTGTCTCAAATTTGCTGTAAATGTGCTTTGAAATCTAATTAAATTTTGTAGTTATATAGTTATATAATTTGTTTGCACTTTTATCATCATTTTAGTTACAATTTCTAATACTAACATAAACACATGAACAGCAAATATGAGAATAATTTCCTTAATAAAAGTAATCAAGTTTGATTAGCACTTGCTAATTAAAATATATTTTTAAATTAACTGTGTGTTGTGGTTTTCTCATTCAAGTAGATTTGTAGAAGCACTGGATTGGATTTTAAAATTTTTTTCTCTTTCAATCCATTTTTGGCTTCTTATAATACGCATGTTCACTCATTCGCTGAACAACACTCTAAAGAACGAACAGATTTATTCATAGTCTATGTCTCCATTAACTGCCTCTCAAATCTTCTAGGAAAAAGCCTTATGCCTCTTCTCAAACTTGAGAGGAGCTATGTGTAAACATTTTCAAAGCTACTTAGTTATCTTCACCTGAATCCCCTGTAAAACTTTCAGTGTGTGATCTGTCAAAGTGTATAAAATTTGAATCACACAATTATCCGGACCTCTGCTTTCCCTGCTGCTGTCATCTCTTTCCCAACCATCTTTTTCCATGTGTTACATGTTCTCTTTCACTTCTGCTGTCAGGTCTTTTGGGTATGAATTGTCATTCCATTGAAGGTTTGTACATTGTGTAGCACCAGTGCCTGCGACCTTATCACTCTCTGGTCTTTGGCAATATGTTAATGCGCATTAATATTGATAATGAGAAAAATTACAGCTGCTAATTATAAAAACCAAACAGTCATCAATAACAAGTAAAACTATAATAGCAATAATAGCTTGCATTGCTAAATTTCCTTTTGGTACCACTTCTTTTTTTTAAATCAAATTCTAAGTTATAGTAGTTTCTTTTCTTCCTTTGTAACTTCAAAATAATTATTGTCACATCATGTCACAGAATAATATGTTCCTGTACTGTCATTTTGGTGTATTCTGTCTCTAAACAAGCTATAGGTAATATATTTCCTTTTTATAATTGCTATTCTTGTCCACTTCTGTAATAAAGTTGTCATATGGAACATGTAATGGACCTTGGCACATTTTTGGAACTTTTTTTTTTTTTAATT